TATATATATATATAAACTTTTGTTTAAACAAATGTTTCAAGTGTTGTAAATGAATAATTTTATGAAGCAAAGTGCTTCTAAAGTAAAAAGGAAATTCTGGGAAACTCAAAATAGCTGCAATTTCCTCTAAGACCTCTTTCCAGTTAGCTCCCTAGGAACTCAGGCCATGTCTTCACTTGGGCTATGTCTAGACTGCAGGCTTCTTTCGAAAGAGGCTCTTTCGAAAGCATCTTTCGAAAGAGCCTCTTTCGAAAGATTGCATCTAGACTGCAGGCGGATCTTTCGATAGAGGAAATCCGCTTTTTCGAAAGAGAGCACCCAGCGAGTCTGGATGCTCTCTTTCGAAGACGGCCTCTTTACATTGTAGAACGCCTTCTTTCGAAAGAAGAACTTTCGAAAGAAGGCGTTCTTCCTCGTGAAACGAGGTTTACCGCCATCGAAAGAAAAGCCGCGTTCTTTCGAAATAATTTCGAAAGAACGCGGCTTGAGTCTGGACGCAGGGGAAGTTTTTTCGGGAAAAGGCTACTTTTCCCGAAAAAACCCCTGAGTCTGGACACGGCCTTGCTGTGCCAGAGAGCTGTCTTCTGGCGTTCTATTTAGCAGGTCTAGTTAAGACCCCATTAATTTGAACGCTGAGGGCTACTCCAGTTGGAGATAGCAGTCACAAGGAGTAAGGTAAGCTGCCGGGAGCGTTTGCTCCCATTGGCGTGTCTCTGTGAGGTCAGCACCAAGCTTGGCTTAAGGTAAGCCAACTCCAGCTATGTATTTTACATAAAAAAACCAACAAATGGTCTGGTAGCACTTTATAGACTTACAACACATGTAGATGGTATCATGAGCTTCTGTGGGCACAGCCCACTTCTTAATCTGACCTTCAGGTCTAGTGTAGACTTGCCTCAGTTCCATTCCGAACTTCACTACTCAGGTATCTTTATTTGGAATGCAGCCAAAGCCAGGCAGAGTTAATCAGACTCAAATGCATGTTACACATAAGCCTTCCTCTTTATAAATATCTACACATCTCATTGCTTTTAATATATGTTGCATTACAAATTTTTTGATTGGCTTGGTTGCTTGATAAGAACCAATCCTTGTACAGTATGCTCTGCCTATACACTGGCTTTGTTCAACCTACTCTTTATCTCACCTTTACATTTTCAATGTATTTTTTTTTTAATACTAAAATGGGTTTGGACCTCTAGGGGTCATCAAGTCCAGTCCTCACAGCAGTACCAAGCACCAACTAGATCATCCCTGATAGATGTTTATCTAATCTGTTCTTAAATATCTCTAATAATGGAGATTCCACAACTTCCCTAGACAACTTTTTCCAGTGTATAAAAACCCTGACAGGAAGTTTTTCCTAATGTGTAACCTAAACCTCCCTTACTGCTATTTAAGCCCATTGTTTCTTATCCTGTCATCAGAGGTCAAGGAGAACAATTTTTCTCTCTCCTCCTTGTAACACTCTTTTAGGTACTTGAAATCTGCTATCATGTCCCCTTCTCAAGTCTCTTTTCATAACTAAACAAATCCAATTATTTCAGTCTTCCCTCATCTTGTTCATCGTTATCTTGATCTTTGCAAATGGCTCCTAGTGGTTCCCTCCTCTTACCTTAGCTAGTTCTGACATGCTTTCTCTTAGCTTTTGTGTCTGATCCATTTTCCTATTTTAGTTTGCAAAGTCTGTTTTAAGCATGTTCATCTATCTACTTCCCTAATCCAATTCATATTACATAGAGACACACACGTGTTGTATTCCCATCACATTTTTCATTTTTTGGTGTGCTTTTTAAAGTTTATTACCCAGCAACACATCCTCCGGACAAGAACTGTTGTAATCATTTGAACCATCATTAATATCAGGCTCAAAATATAACCCATGAGGTGCAAACTCACCTCCTCTGATACAACCCAACAACGGATGTAAAATTTTGACTGGCTAATCAAATAGTTGACGCAATTTGCATTGGTTATTCAATTATTCAATAAAAGTGCCTCCACCTCTGAAGTATACCAACAGCCCCAGGGTTCTTTCTGGTAGAGGCAGCAAGGGGGAGGGAGAGAATAGTTGACTAGTGTATCGATTATCCGATAAGCATTTGCTCATCAGATAATTGAATAGTCTTTCAATTCCTAGTGCAGAGGTTACAAATTTCAGTTACAATCCTCCATCATCATTCCCTTACCCTTCTACTTGAACTATAATTGGCGCTGGGAGGAGAAACTTTCCCATATTCTCTGGATACATTATTTAACTTAGCCTGAAGGTATCTTATTTAGCAGTATCAAAAGCAGGGGAGCAGTAGCAACTTTTACATGTTTTCACACAGATACATCTGACAGCTATGCTGCAAACTGAGGAAAACACTTCTTGATACTTTCTCCCATTATACTGGCACCTCCGCAACTGGTCTTGTAAGTTCACTACTTGTTCTACAAGAGAGTTGCGTTTCTCCCATATTTCCTCCAGCTTTTCTGTTTTCCCAAAACCTCCTCACTGGATTGCACTGCATGGACCTTGTATATCTTCTTTTCTTCTCCAGCCCATTTTTTCCCTTTCCTAATTTGTGGCTCTGAATCTTTAAGTCCTTTAACTTAGTGATCCAAGGCTTCAATGACCAACACAGGTTTTTGCTTTTCTTTTTTCATATTTTGTCCAGCACTATTAGTTGGAGTTTCTTTTCCACCTGGTTCCAGTTCCTCCCTACAATGTTTCTGGGGAGTAAGAGCCAGGCCTACAATAACCTCTTAATGACAAATGTTATGATATCATAAGAGAGTCCATTCTGCTCTAATGCAACATGCTTCAATATTTTTGCTGTTCATTAGCAATGAAAAGTAGTCACCTAGAGTATGTAAACTACTTTGCTCAAATCTAGTTCCTAAAATAAACTTGACACAGGAAAAAGCATACAATGACATATACAAAGCAGCTATATATTACCCAAATTCATGCAATACATGATACAATCCTAGTTCTTTTAAACATGACAGCTGTACAAGGATAAGATTCAGGTTGCGTTTTAAGAATATAACTTAGATCCCACCGATTTTGGCAGTTTTATACAATTTGTTTTTATTTTTTAAAAGATATTTATAGTACTGTTTATAACAACCTAATCACCCACAAGTATTCAGGGAATATGTATTTTTACATGGCCATAAGACACATTAGAATTTGATTAGTCTCCTACTATTGACCCTTAGGCCTGGGTATGCTGTGGCAGAATACTGGATTAAAGGGCAACATTGATAGACTCTAAAGGAAATGCTCCTTGTATTTATATTGATTCATTAAATGGGGAAGTGAAATTAAGCATGCCCAAGTACAAAACACAATACTCAGAGGACACATATACATCATGAAACAGATTATCAGGATATATACCAAGTGCATACACGGAAAGAATAAATGAATCCTTAGAATGATAAAATACCCCATAATTACAAATTATTTGCTGATACTCCTTAATGATATATTATACATTTGTGAACACAGCTTGCACCAGGCTATGAAAACACATACATTCTTTTATTTGCTATTTACCACTGCTGTGACCATTTATACATGTCAGAATTTCCATCTTCAAATCAAAATCTGTCATTTTAATATATTTCTTAAGTAGAACAAACCTGTCTAGAAATGGCAAGTTGCAGTGCCAGGTAAAATGCTGCAAGATGATCTGTTGGAGACAAACTGTGGGCCCTGAAAAAAATTAAATATAGTTAGTCTATGCTAACTACTACACATTCATATCTCTTTTTGACTTGTCATTGGTTTATATTTTGACATGGGAGAACATGCCAGGCTTCTGTTCCCCTACACTGGATTGGTTAAAAAGTCATCATTCATAGCAACTCTGGGCTAAACAGAAACACCTTTTGGTTTTGCCTAGAGTCCTTTTACATACCTTCAGTGTAATCTTAGAAGTGGATGAAATGAAAAATTTTTATTAATGAAATTTAATCCTAGGCCCATGCCAGAGACATCTAAGTATTGAGAAAGGAAGACTCTGTTATATCTGATGCCCTGAATTCTCAAGTGCCACAGCTTCTGTTACACTGACCAACTCAGTGTTGATGGAAATACAGAAGGAGCTGGCAAGCACTCTAGTCCTGAGAGGCTCTTAGCTGACCAAAATTATCACTCATACCGGCAGCATCTTATTAACACTGTGCTTTCTTTTCTTGTCCTTATCCACTGGTTCAGTTGCTATGCCAGGTTTTTAGGTGCATCCTTGAACCTGTCACTCCAGAGCCTCCTAAGCTATGGTTATACTTAGAATGCCTCAATATTGATGACACTGAGAATGGTGGCAATCATTTTCTGATAGGTTGGTGCTTTTTCTGGGGACTTGCAGCTCTTTTTAGATGAAGTAAACAGCTGTGAACCCCTCATGTACAGCAATAGTCCCTGGATATTGAGGGATATGGGGAAGATTTGTGCCTTCTAGTGATTCTTGGCGGAGATCTGGGGAAGGTTAAAGAGCTACCTCCATCATGATGATTTTCTGTCTCAATTCCTATCACAAGGGAAGTTTACCCCGTCCCTCTTTGGGGAAGGATGAGGGCTTTGGAGCCCCATGGTTAAGTTCATCTGGCCACTCTTATCCTCAGGTCTTATGACCTATCAGCCATGTCTATTGGATCACCTTTCCTCGTGGGACTAGATGGCTTGGTGATCAAAGACAATATGCCTGCCCAGTCCTTAGGAGTGGTAGGGCCTAACAGACCAAGTCAACCAGGCTGTCCTTCCTATGAGGGCAGAATGATGCCGTGGCCAGAGTCAATATGACTGCCCTCCTCTAGAAGGCCTGGTGTCCAGAGTCAGTAGGGCTGTCCTTTTCCACAGGACTGTACTGTCTAATGGCCAGAATCAAAAAGCCTGTCATCCTCTGCACAACTGAGATACCTAGTGATCAGTTAGGGAAGTGGGCTGCCACTTGCAGGTGGGTGGCGGACAGGGTAAAGAGAACTAGACCTTCCATACTTCAAAGTCAAAGCTCAAAACCCAAGTAGTGCCGAGTATGCTTAATTCTGAGTCATCAGGGATCTGACACTGACATTACTTAGCAAATTGGCTAGTGTCCCCATGTCTATTTCCTACCCTGTCTTCTGATGCAGTTTCAGGGTACCCCTAGAGTCCTCAGTTTGTGTAGATCCCAACAGCTCAGAACTCCCTTGGGTATCCACATATATCTGGGAATCCATTTGGGTCTTGGCACTTTGGGCTTCCTTAGGCTGGGGCTTTTGCAATTCCTAGGCTGGAGCCTGCTTGGTCCATCACCCCTCCTCAGCAGGCAGCCCAGACTGAAGTGAGCTTGGTGTGCTTCTGCTTCACCATGGCAGCAGGAAACAGAGCACTCCAGCCCCAGGACACTTCTCATTCTGCTGCTAAGGAGAAGCAAGATGCAGTGGTGTGGAAGAGACCAGGGTGGGATGGAGAAGGTGGCCAGGCCACTTTGGATCCCACTGCCACAGTGAGTGTAAGAGTGGAGGGGGAGAGAGGGAGAGACCCCTGCTGCTGCCCTACACCAGGCTCTGTAATCCCTCATCTTGTATTATTCAGGGGTCGGGACAGAGTAGGGGCAGGAAGGAGCAAGCTGGTGGCAGAACAGCGGTGAGAAGTGGAGCAAGGGGTGGAGCAGTGGTGGAGTGAACATAAGAACGGCCGTATTGGGTCAGACCAAAGGTCCATCTAGCCCAGTAGCCTGTCTACCGACAGTGGCCAGTACCAGGTGCCCCAGAAAAGGTGGACTGAAGACAATGATCAAGCGATTTGTCTCCTGCCATCCTTCTCCAGCCTCTGACAAACAAAAGCCAGGGACACCATTTCTATCCCCTGGCTAATAGCCTTTTATGGACCTAACCTCCATGAATGTATCTAGCTTCTCTTTAAACTCTGTTATAATCCTAGCCTTCACAGGCTACTCCGTCTACACCATCCCTGACAGTAGGCTAGGGATGGTGTAGACGGAGCTTGGTCCTGCCTTGAGGGCGGGGGCTGGACTCGATGACCTCTCCCTGCCATCCTTCTCCAGACTCTGACAAACAGAGGCCAAGGACACCATTTTATCCCCTGGCTAATAGCCTTTTATGGACCTAACCTCCATGAAATTATCTAGCTTCTCTTTAAACTCTGTTATAGTCCTAGCCTTCACAGCCTCCTCTGGCAAGGAGTTCCACAGGTTGACTACACACTGCGAGAAGAAGGACTTCCTTTTATTAGTTTTAAACCTGCAACCCATTAATTTAATTTAGTGTCCTCTAGTTCTTCTATTATGGGAACTAATAAATAACTTTTCTTTATCCGCCCTCTCCACACCACTCATGATTTTATATACCTCTATCATATCCCCCCCCTCAGTCTCCTCTTTTCTAAACTGAAAAGTCCCAGTCGCTTTAACCTCTCTTCATATGGGACCCATTCCAAACCCCTAATCATTTTAGTTGCCCTTTTCTGAACCCTTTCCAAGGCCAAAATATCTTTTTTGAGGTGAGGAGACCACATCTGTACACAGTACAGATGTGGAGCAGGAGTAAGGGGGTTCTACTGGCCCCAAAACCTGGGGCTCTGGGAGGGGTTGCCCCAGGCCTCACAACCCCCTAGGGATGGCCCTGGGTGTGAGGATGGGGCTTCCTCTATCCTAAGAGTGGGGTTAACCCATTCTTGGCTTGCATAAGCCAAGTGCACTCTCTCAGCTCCCTCTCCTTCCATGACCTGGGTTTAAGCTGTTGATAGATCACACTTATGAGGAACGTGGCTGTCCCTGACGCAGTGTCTGGAGCAAGAATGTTTATCTTTCACAGGGATGGTTGTCTTACATCCGAGAGACTTTGTGAAGCTCAGTGAGCTGGAAATACACTCCTGAGGGGGAAAGGAATCCCCCCAAAAGGGGGGAGATTATTATTTTTTTTTGGTTTTGTGTTTTGTTTTTGAAGAGAAAGTAAAATCTACCACTAGATTAATTAGGAAGGAGATTAATTAACTACTAAAAATGCTAACAGACTAAAGTTAATGATTGCACACGGCTCTCCGTGGCTAGGGTAGTTGAGAAGGAACTGAGGGAGATTCACCCCTATGCACTCATTTGTCTTTTGCAAGGCAGGAGAGGGGGCAGTGCATGTGGGCAAATGGACACTGTTACCAAAGTTCTCTAAGCAGCAGTGCAAGGATGCAAGTGCACCTACAGTGGAGCGCCAAGAGGGACATTACTCGAAGAAGAACAGAGTAACTTTCCATAGGAGGAAGGAATGAGCTGAGTGCTACCAGGTGGACTGTCAAAGCACTGAAGGCAAAACCCATTGGTGGCTTTAAGAACAGAATATAGTCTAGGATGAGGGGAATGCTTGCTGCTTTTGGTAAAACCCTTTAAATGTTGTGGCCAAGAAAAAAAAATGTCTCCATTTAGTCTGTAAAAGCAGCGAGGAGTCCTGTGGCACCTTATAGACTAACTGAAATGTTGGAGCATAAGCTTTCATGGGCAAAGACCCACTTCATCAGATGCACCAAGGTTTGTTGCATGGATTGGTTTCTGAGTTAGAGTTATTCTGGTGCGGTGTATAGTTGCTGGTGAGAATATGCTTCAGGTTGGCGGGTTGTTTGTGGGCAAGGACTGGCCTGCCTCCCAAGGCCTGTGAAAGCAAGGGATCATTGTCCAGGATGGGTTGTAGATCACTAATGATGTGTTGGAGAGGTTTTAGCTGAGGACTGTAGGTAATGGCCAGTGGTGTTCTGTTGGTTTCTTTCTTTGGTTTGTCCCGTAGCAGGAGGCTTCTGGGTACACGCCTGGCTCTGTCAATCTGGCTCCTCACTTCCTCGTGTGAGTATCGTAGTTTACAGAATGCTTGTTGAAGATCTTGTAGGTGTAGGTCTCTGTCTGAGGGGTTGGAGCATATGCAGTTGTACCTCAGTGCTTGGCTGTAAACAATGGATCGTGTGGTGTGTCCGGGATGGAAGCTGGAGGCATGCAGGTAAGCATAGCGGTCGGTAGGATGCATCTGATGAAGTGGGTCTTTGCCCATGAAAGCTTATGCTCCAACATTTCAGTTAGTCTATAAGGTGCCACAGGACTCCTCGCTGCTTTTACAGACTAAATGGAGACATTTTTTTTTCTTGGCCACAACATTTAAAGGGTTTTACCAAAAGCAGCAAGCATTCCCCTCATCCTTGTCTAGTGAAATTTTTTGCTGCTGACAGAGATAATGTCTTGTACAGTCGAGTAGCATATCCACTCTAGAGTAGATTCCCATCCAAATACCAGAGATGAATATATATGAACTGGGGTGCTTGATCTTGCCATTGTACTTGGTCAGAGGATTGGAAAAATTCACGATGGGAACTGGTGGGTGGGATGATACATGCAGGAGACTGGGGAAAAGAATTGTCTGGGTCAGAAGGAGGTGATGAAGTGAAAGTCATCCTCCCTTGCTAGATCATGTGCAGCATGCAGCACAGGAGTGGTAATGGAGAAAAGACATAGTTGAGATGGTCCAACCATCAAAATAAGAGAACATTGTCCGTGAAGTGGAAGCTGAAGGGACCCCTGGATCAATCAACATATGGCACACTTGATGTTCGTCTGAGAAGCAAACAAGTATCTAGCTGAGTTCTCTCATTTTATGAAGATGTTACGTACCACTGTTTCAAAAATTCCCACCTCATGGTTGAGGAGGTACACACGCTTGCCCTAGTCAGTGGGATGGCTTGAAGTCAATTGCTAAAACAACACGAGTAAATGGGTTTTAATCCCCTGAGTGTCATCGAACAATTCTACAGTGGCAGAGTGGAAATTGAGCGACGAGAGGCCGACAAAAATGTCAGGTGCTTGGTCAACATGGAAAAGGACAACCCTCACTGTGTGTACTTACAGTTGCAAGTCACTGGCGAGGGAGGAAACTTTAAACCATCTGATGGAGGAAAAGAAAAGGATAAGATGCGATATCCTCGGTATCTGTGAAACCCGACAAAAGAAGAAGTTGGAAGTCAACTGGAAGGATGGAAGAGCTGTGAGGCTCGGAAAGGGAGACGGTGCTAGAAATGTTGGGGGAGTCTGATTTATCGTCAGTAAGGACTGGTCTTTGAAAGTTATATCATGCCAGCTAATATCATCACGTATTGGTGTGCTTCATCTTCAGATAGAGTCAAAGGCTACCCTCACGGTCATCCAGGCCTATCCCCCCACAAGTGCAAGTGAGGACAAAGAAGTAGAAGAATTCTACCGAGAGCTGGAAAGAGACCTCGCACAAAAGTCCACTTACACTGTCACGATGGGAGACTAACGCAAAGGTCGGACGAGGAAAGCTGGCAAAAAGTTCATAAGGAGATACAGCAGTGGTGAAAGGAATGAAAGAGGAGAAAGGTTAGTAGCGATGGCAAAAATGAAAGAACTGTACATTATAAAGAGAAGATCGCAAGAAAGTAGACGTGGATCGCACCAAACGCGAAGAGCAAGAATGAAATTGACTATATTTTAGTCAATAAAAGGCACATCGTTCAAGACGGCTCTGTGGTGCAACCTTTCAACATCAGCAGTGACCATCGCTTGCTTAGAACGAAGTTGAATTTCGACGAAATGGTGGAAAAGAAAGCGTTACAGATGGCAAATAGGAAACAGTGGCCGAAGACATTCAATGAAGTAAAGCTGAAGAAAGCGTTTTCTGGGTTTGACTGGAGCCAGACGGAAAAGTGTGATGAGGACTATAGTATCTTTCCTGACAAGCTGAGATGTTGCCTAAAAGCAGCTGAAATTGAAAAGTCGAAGAAGGTGAAAGGAAGAATCTCGAAAGAAATGAAAAGCCTGCTGGAGAAGTGGAGAAACATGAAAAGGAGCTCAGATAACAACTTTGAGTACTCCATTCTTTGCAAGCTTATAGGGCAAAAGCTGAAGGATGACTTTGAGAACTTCCGGAAAGAAAAACTCCTCAAAACAGCTGAATCACGCAAAAGCTTCAGGACACGCAAGCAGGAATTGACGCAGTATAGACTGAGTGTAACAGCACTGAAAAACAAGGATGGAGAGACAGTAATCGACAGAGCAGGGATGGAGGAGGTCTGTAAGGACTTCCAAACAGAACTATTCAAATCAAGAATCAATGTCCCTCTCCCAACGCTCCAGGAGTCAGAAGAACGCGTCCCCCCAATAATTGTCAGCAAAATCCGAAGTGCACTATACCAGATGAAAAAGGGAAAAGCTCCAGGCAAAGATGGAATAACGTCAGAAATGATTTCTGCAGGAGGCAAAAAACTTTGGAAGGCCCTCGCTTTAAGATTCAGTTGATATCTTAAAGAAGGAAAAATATCATCAAGCTGGAAGGAGTCGAATACCAAGAAGGGCGATTGAGAAAATCTTAAGAATTACTGCCCTATATGCCTACTCTCTCATATTTACAAGCTCTTTACAAAGGTGGTAACGAACCGACTTTCACAGAGCCTGGACGAACAACAGCCGAGAGAGCAGGCAGGTTTTCGAAGAAATTTCAGCACAACTGACCATATATTTACCCTTAGCCAGCTCCTAGAAAGAGCGAGGGAATACAAACTTCCACTGTGCATTGCTTTCATCGATTATGAAAAGACCTTTGTTAGCGTCGAGTTCAATGCAATATTAAAGGCACTCGCAGAGCAGGGAATTAATACGCAATACATCAATTTGTTGAAGGAAGCGAATACTGGATGTAATTAATATGCAATACATCAATTTGTTGAAAGAAGCGAATACTGGATGTACAACAGATATTACTCTCCTCGAAACTCCCATCCGTATCCCAATCGAGAAAGGCGTGAAGCAAGGAGATACAATTTCACCGAAACTATTCACTGCATGCCTCAAAATGGTTATGAACAAGATCAATTGGAGGAGTGGTGTCAACATAAATGGAGAACGACTGTCTCATCTCAGATTCGCAGATGACATTGTATTAATTACCGAAAGCACCAACCAATTGCAGAGCATGCTACGAAGACTTAAGAAAAGCACTCAGGTCAGTCTGAACATGTACCACTGCAAAATGAGCCACACCCCGCCTTCACGGCCGTCAATGGACGTGACGTCATCATCGGGCGCCCGGGCCAGCGGCGCTCTAGGCAACTGCCTAGTTTGCCTAGGCTCACGGGCCGCCCCGACTGTAATTATTGCTGAGTGGCACCCACAAGAACAGAAAAGTCCACCTGGTCAACCTCCAAGAAGATGGGAAGATGACATTGTTAAACGTTTTGGACGAACGTGGAGAAGAAAGGCAAGAGTGCGAGAAGAATGGTGGACGTGTTGTGATCGGCGCAGTCTTAACGATAGCTGAAGACTGATCGACCCAGGTGATTCAGGTGAAATCACTCTAAAAACTATGTATCCACAATTGCAGACATCTTGGTGTACACTGATTAGTGACAATCACTACAAAAATGTTTTTACTCAAAAAGAGGAAAATATGGCAGCAAAAGTATATTTAATAAAGAAATAATAATGCAATATGTTCTATACCTATGAAGCCAGACTTCCAGAAGTAAAATCCTCATTATACACACTTCATATATGTCTTTTAATACCACATATAACAAGGTTTTATATTACATACAGCAGCATGAAAAGATTAACACCCACTCACCTCTGAAATGCAAGAAGAGCCTTTCTCTGCAGGACCTCTTGTATCCCTCGCAAAGATGCTAAAAAAGAATACATTTAATCAGTGATATTTAAGAATCAAAGATTTGTTTACACCTGCTTACTGAACAAAGATTAATACATTCACAGACTGTTATGACAAAAACGATATAAAAATCACACAATACACTTCCTTTTAGAGGCTGGTGCATTTGAGGTTTTTCTAATACATGTCCTCTGGTATTTCCTAACTCTATGGGTACATATAAACTGGCTTTGTTTGAGTTAGTGCATTAAAATTAGTATTGTAGCATAGATGGCAGCATTGGAACTACATTTGGTATGAGACTACATACCAAAGGGGTCCAGTCAAACTTGTACTCAGGCAGCTAACCTGAGTTGCCACCCTTCCAATCGTAATCCCCTCCACCCCCAGCTACACTGCCATTTTCAGAGTGCTAGCTTCAGCAAAGCTAGCTCATCTGCCTACCCATGCTGGGAAGCACACTCTGGCTGCAGTGCAGACATATCCTATGCACGTATTCTTTTCTTACCATCCGTGGCTTGCAGGCTGTAAGTTAGTCCCAGTGCTAAATAGCCTTTTGCTTTGAACTCTGATGTTTTGTCCCCAACTTCAACAACTGTTTTGGCAAATCTTTCTGCTTCTTCCAACTGAAAATATTACAAAAAAATTAATGCAAGTCTTAGTAAGTTTTTTTTCTTACTATACATAAAACCATAAATATAAAGCAAGCTAAAATCTGTGTTACAGTGAATCTAGAATTAGAAAAGAATTTCAGGCCATTGATAGATTAGGTCAGTTTAACAATAACAAAAAATCTCAACCATCACTACTTCCTTTAAGCACCTTCCTTTATGTTTCCACCCAAATTTAACTCACAAAGAATATAGCTCTTACCCAAAGCTGAGATACTCATATCTATGGTTAAATGGCAACTGGAACTGACAGGCTACAAGTCAACTTGAAAATTATTCTGATAAAAAAAGATCTAAAATCTGTTTTCAGGTCCAATACTTGTTCCTTAACCCCACTTTCCAACCTCTGCTGTTTTATAATCGCATTTTCCATTTAAAAAAGAATGTTTTCCTGCTAACTTGGTGCTCTGTGAAACATCCTAACAACTGCGGAAATTAAGGCCCTAATCCTGCAAGACACGCGGCTCTCAGACAGCTCCCATGACATGGCTTTGCCAATGCAGACCTCTTGTGAGATCCAGGCCCATCTACATGTTCATACACCACAATCACACTTACATGCTACTTGACAACACAGTTAGGCTAGAAATTGCAAAGAACAAGAACATAAATTTGCTAAAAATGAATCTAAAACCCACTTGCTCAATATAGCAAGCTGCTCCATGCAGGATTCACCCTCACGGAGCAATTTATAGGACTTGGATCATTTCATTAACTTAACAAATCCCCTGCTACTGCACCACTCATTTCTGTTTGAACTACACAAAAGCAATATTTACAGAGTACTGTCCCACTCTGTGATGCAATACATTCAAAACAAATTGGGCATAACCACAATTATTTAAAAAACAGCACCTCTTCCTCAGAATCATTTCCTCTACAGGCCCACCTTGCAACTTATACAACAATAAAATTAATAAGTTGGCATTCATTGTGGTTAAGAATGTCTTGTGCAGAAAGATACCTAATAATATATTTTACTATTGCCTGGTCTGCACTAGAAGTTTAGATCAAATTTAGCTGCATAAGGTTGATTTTCTAAACAGTGTGTCCACCCTACCACCCTACTCCTGCAATTCACAAGGAGTAATGCAATTTTCAACTTTGCTGGTTGAATTTATAGTAGTGTAGAAGCAGTGTTGCGAAAGTTGAGGTTCTTGGCTTCCAGGAGGCATCTGCCCTGCTCTGTCTAGAACTTGCACCTCTGTTGCTTTCCAGGTGAACAGGTAGGCCCTCAGAAGGTTTGAACTTCACTTCTCGTGTGGCCAGTGCTGCAAGCACACTTCAGAGCAGACAGCACACCCGAGCAGCACGCGTATGCTGCTTTGAAGTATCCCCTTTTCTGCCTCTATCTGACAGAGGCAGCAATGGGGGGAGGAGGGCGGAATTGACTAGTTGACTAGTCATTAACATCCTTTTACCAAAGTACTCCAAAAAAAGGGGAGGCGGGCAGGATTTGGAATGGACATGAGCAACACATTTCAAAGAACAACAGTTATGAGGTAAGTAATGATTTTTTCTTCGAGTGATTGCTCATGTCCTGTCCATGTAGGTGACTCCAAAGCAGAAACCCCAGGAGGAAGGGTCAGAGAACTAACCCTCCACAGAGCCAAGGACAGCCTTACCAATAGCTGCATCCTCCCTGGCTTGGCAAGCCAGGGTGTAGTGATTGGCAAAGGTATGGACTAAAGACCACATGGTGGCCCTTCAGATATTCAGAATAGGGACCTGAGCCACAAAAGCAGTAGAGGAGGACTGCGCCCTAGTAGAGTAAGCCATGAGGGGCAGAGCCAGAACCCCAGCCAGACCATAATGCTCCATGATACAGGAGGTTATCCAAGAGGAAATCCTGTGAGCAGAGAACGGCGGGCTCTTGAGCCTCTCCGCAATTGCAACGAACAACTGTGGGGACATGACCTCATCCTGTTTAAATAAAAAACCAGGGCTCTCCTGACATCTAGCTTGCGTAGAGCCTGTTCTTTACCAGAGGCATGGAGCTTAGGGTAAAACACTGGCAGGAAAATGTCTTCAGAGACATGGAACTGGGACACCACCTTTGGTAGAAAGGCAGGGTGAGGCTATACCTTGTCCTTGAAGATGACGGTGTAAGGGGGATAATGGTCCTGGCCAACCCTGAAGTGGAGGAACTGCCTGTGGTGAGGGGCAATAGAAATATGAAAATAAGAGTCCTTTATATCGAGGGCAGAGTACCAATCTTCAAGATTTAGGGAGGGGATGATCGATGCCAGTGTCATCATCTTGAATTTGGCTTTGGCAATGAAGACGTTGAGATCCCTGAGGTCTAGGATGGGTCTGAAAGCCCCCTTTGGCTTTGGTGACCAGGAAATACCAGGAGTAGAAATCTTTGCCTGTGAACTCCTTCTAGGCGGTGAACCAGCGGGAGAGGCATGACAACCAGGCCCAACACCCAAGAGAAGGGACGCTGAAAAGACAGATCTCTTGGGCAGAAAGCTGGCTTCTGGGGGTGTGCAGCTCCACCTAGCGACTCAGCAGGTCCGGCTGAGTTGCTATGCGTACAACACATGGGATGCTATGGACAAATTCGCCAAATTTGTCCCACAGGACTCCCAATCCGAGTTCAAGTCCCTCTCAGAGGAGGGCAGGGTAGTCTCTCAGGCTGCCCTTCAGGCGGTTCTAGATGCAGCAGCCCGCGCCATGGTGTAGTGTTGTGCCACAGCTTTTGGCTGCAGGTGTCAAGACTGCCTTCTGAGCTCAGGATCTCCCATTAGAAGGGGCCATCCCTGTTTTCTGAGCAGATGGTAGAAATAATAGATGCTATTCCTGACCTGCCTCTGATCACGGTCTGAGCCCCTCCAACAAGCCCCAAGGGCTCCATCAAGCTATCCTTGGGTGTACCTTTGAAACCCCTATCAGCCTCACCCCTCCAGTTCCTGGACCGCTTGTTCCCTTTCTGCCGTGCCCGGGAATCCATAACATCAGACCAATGGGCCTTAGAGATGGAAGGAAGGGGATATGCCATCCCTTTTCTCTCACCCCCTCCATCCCAGCACCCTGCCCATCCCTCTTCAGGGACCCCTCTCAAGCATCTCCTTCGGAAGGAGGTGCAGCAGCTCCTAAGCCTAGGAGCAGCACAAAGTACCTCTGCTCGACCTTCTTATTGATCAGTGAGCTGGAAGCCGGGGTTTGCCAGAGGGTCTTCATGATTTTTGTCATGGTCTTGTTAAGGGCCAGAGCCACTGTGGTGGGGCTTTCGGACTACAAGATGTCGATCACTGGGTTTGAATCTTCTGACATGTTCTTCACCTAGACTCCCAGACTCTGGGCCAAGTGACGAAGGAGGTCCTGGTGTGACCTCGAGTCCATGAGGGCATGAAAGGCCAAGGGCCTCATCTGGAAAGGAGGAAGATGACTCTTCAGACCCATGACCTCTGAGTCACAGATCTGTGAGGGGGCCTGGGAAGCTGCCAATGATGCCATCATGGAGGGATGAGCTGTGGGTGGCCCTCTTTAGATGGAGGGTCTGGGCAAAGCCTGCCCCAGAGGGAGGGACTGCCTCAACATGGGGGAACGAGTCACCGGGGTCACTGGAGGAGCCCTCGGTCCCAACTAGACTGACTCCGATCTACAGCCTGCACCCTGGCTCTGATGATAGGCCCAGGAGGTCCAGAATAGCCACTGCAGGAGTCTGCCACTGTAGTGGCCAGGACTGCTGCGCCAACAGGACAGGAGTAGGCTGTGGTCAAGGTTGCTGCTGTTGGTGCTGCAGCTGCATCGATGTACTCTGGTGCCGGGAATGCTGCCATGACCATGACTTGGAATCCTGAGATGACCACTCAGATTCCAACCTCCCAATCAGTGGAATATTCAGAGGTCAACCAGGATGCCATAGTGGTAGCGGACGGCGATCTCTGGCAAAGGATGTGCTGAGCCACGGACTTTGGCTTCCCTCGGTGCCGGTCCACCTGTCACTGATGTGCCAGCATCCAGAGGGCCCACTGACGAGGTCAGTGCTAGCTCTGTTGCTTGGGTTGGGGGTGAAGCGGAGGTCAGTGTCGCTGCCAGAGACAGTGCAGGGCCTGGTACCAGCGCTGGCGTTGTCAGCACTGGGGTTGTGCTATAAGGTCCTCTTGTGTCTGGTGCCAGGATGCTCAATGCCGCGGCTGTGGCATGGTGCCAACTTGTTTCATGTTCCTTCACTGGGCCCAGTACCAAGTTTGGGACGAGGTAAGCTCAATAAGGTCCCTTGCAGCCTAGAAAGTGTCTGGTATTGAAGGCTCTGTGAGGTCCACCACAGGACTGGACTCCTGACACAGGCTAGAGCCATGCCAACCCAACTGTGACAGTCTGGGTGTCGTGCTCGCCGGTGCTACGTGCCCCGCCCCAACAGCATACTGATGTGGCATGTGCCTCGGTGGAGAGCTGCTCCTGCTAGGTCTCTGCTTCTTCTGAGGCACTGGAGACTGGGAATGATGCCAAGGACTTGGGAAGTGCTGAGTGTCTAGGTGCCCCTTGCACCGAAGTTGGTGCACTATCAGTCGCTGGTGCTGGATCCGACGCAAGTGCCAGATTAAGAGCCACCTCCATAAGGATGATCTTCAGGCAGGACTCTTTCCTGCTTGGTATGTGACTTGAAGCCCCTGCAGATCTTAAATGCCTCAGACAGATGGGCTTCTCTGAAGCACTAGAGGCAGGCTTCATGGGGATCCCCACAGGGAATAGGCTTCTGGCACTTCACACAGGGCCTTAGGGCCTGGGCATGCTCTGCAGCATGTGGCAGGGACACGAAGCGAGCCCTGCACCGAAGTAACTACTAGCTAAATACTAACACTTAACAACTATTTACTCAACTTTGGAAGCCCCAGGGGGCCACAATGATACCCACAACACATGGTACAGGCCGCAACTTAAGTGTGATTGCATAGACATGCAAATATACATGCAAATAGCTTATTTCACAGTGACGGGCAAAAATACAAAATTAAAGCAAGACTACACAACACGCAGGCCCCATTCAAGTCAGTTCTGCTATTAATAAAATGAAATATTTACCCCATTTCTACCCATATGTCAGCACTTTTAATGAGCAATGACAGTCCAGAAATTTACTAAAACGCATCTCAACAGAAGACGACTTTATATTGACGACTTTTTGTTTTAGCTCCCACCCCTGGACCACAAACGAACAGGCTGCATGTGGACCGCGGGCCGCATGTTGAGTAGCCCTGATTTACAATGAGATAAGAACAATGAACTTAGAAATGCACTAACTATGGAACAACAGATAACTGCTCAGAAGTGCTCGCAGAGCAAGAACACAGCATGTTCCAATGACCGTCACAAGCAGTAAGAAAGAACTGAGTGGGTGGAGGGCCAGCAGGGGTAACATTAGCTGACATGGCGGTGCCACTCCACGGTGCTCCCCTGATGATTACTGCTAGGGAAAAAAACTTCCGACAACGCATGTACACAGTGCACATATACCTATGTGGAACTGATTTGAGCAATCACTTGTGGAAGAAGACTGTTTTCCATTGATCTCGAGCAAGGGGGGAGGGAGTAGACGAGCATATTATGGGACTCTAACAGGAACCCATAACCACTGTACAGTTTTGGTCCCAGTATGCACTGGGACCATAACCCAAAATGCGAAGTGATGCAGGCACTATGGGATAGCTTCCAACAGTGCATTGCCCTCAAAGTCAATGGCAGCCTCCATACTGGGGACGCATTACATCAAACTACATTGAATTCCCCACAGTGGGGACATGGGACCTTCGACTATGTAAAATCAGGTGATCAGAAATTGACCATAATAGATTTGACCTTAGCTCATAGCATCGACACAGCCTATGAAAGAACATTTTCAAGTTAAATACAGTCCCAAATGTAGATTGTATAGAGTGAGTTTTTTCAAAACTTAGCCATTAACAGAAATGGTTTTATGAAACTTTTTTTTTGTGGACAGCCGTGTGATTAGGTCTGTAATAAAGCAGGTTTTAGGCTTTATCATACTTACAAATTTTCAATTTTTTCTTTCAAAAAATAGATATCTAAAATGATTTATGTTTTTGATCTTTGTATAATTGACACAGTATTCATTCACTCTATTTGCAAAACTCAAAATATTTATATTTTGCAAAAGTTTAATACATCAAACTGCTTTACCATTTGGACACGAATGCACATGCACGCAGACACAGAGTAAATCTATTACGTGAAAAGAAGAAAGTACAGGCCGCAACTTAAGTGTGATTGCATAGACATGCAAATATACATGCAAATAGCTTATTTCACAGTGACGGGCAAAAATACAAAATTAAAGCAAGACTACACAACACGCAGGCCCCATTCAAGTCAGTTCTGCTATTAATAAAATGAAATATTTACCCCATTTCTACCCATATGTCAGCACTTTTAATGAGCAATGACAGTCCAGAAATTTACTAAAACGCATCTCAACAGAAGACGACTTTATATTGACGACTTTTTGTTTTAGCTCCCACCCCTGGACCACAAACGAACAGGCCGCATGTGGACCGCGGGCCGCATGTTGAGTAGCCCTGATTTACAACGAGATAAGAACAATGAACTTAGAAATGCACTAACTATGGAACAACAGATAACTGCTCAGAAGTGCTCGCAGAGCAAGAACACAGCATGTTCCAATGACCGTCACAAGCAGTAAGAAAGAACTGAGTGGGTGGAGGGCCAGCAGGGGTAACATTAGCTGACATGGCGGTGCCACTCCACGGTGCTCCCCTGATGATTACTGCTAGGGAAAAAAACTTCCGACAACGCATGTACACAGTGCACATATACCTATGTGGAACTGATTTGAGCAATCACTTGTGGAAGAAGACTGTTTTCCATTGATCTCGAGCAAGGGGGGAGGGAGTAGACGAGCATATTATGGGACTCTAACAGGAACCCATAACCACTGTACAGTTTTGGTCCCAGTATGCACTGGGACCATAACCCAAAATGCGAAGTGATGCAGGCACTATGGGATAGCTTCCAACAGTGCATTGCCCTCAAAGTCAATGGCAGCCTCCATACTGGGGACGCATTACATCAAACTACATTGAATTCCCCACAGTGGGGACATGGGACCTTCGACTATGTAAAATCAGGTGATCAGAAATTGACCATAATAGATTTGACCTTAGCTCATAGCATCGACACAGCCTATGAAAGAACATTTTCAAGTTAAATACAGTCCCAAATGTAGATTGTATAGAGTGAGTTTTTTCAAAACTTAGCCATTAACAGAAATGGTTTTATGAAACTTTTTTTTTGTGGACAGCCGTGTGATTAGGTCTGTAATAAAGCAGGTTTTAGGCTTTATCATACTTACAAATTTTCATTTTTTTCTTTCAAAAAATAGATATCTAAAATGATTTATGTTTTTGATCTTTGTATAATTGACACAGTATTCATTCACTCTATTTGCAAAACTCAAAATATTTATATTTTGCAAAAGTTTAATACATCAAACTGCTTTACCATTTGGACACGAATGCACATGCACGCAGACACAGAGTAAATCTATTACGTGAAAAGAAGAAATTTTGCCTTCTGTTACTAAAATGCAATGCTGTCACAATTCCCCCTCCAGTTGTTTACACTTAAAATTAAAATTAGTGACTAATCTAATTACTAAAGCAAGTGATGTGCTGTGTGGATAATTACTTATCTCTGAAACATGCAGGCATAAAACCTGATCCTATACAAGCGAAAAAGTTGTGTACTGAAGTGTTTGTCATTTATTAAGAAGTCAGAATGGTGTATAAACTTTTATTAAATGTTGACTAATGGCAAAAACTGTTCCTGAATATTTTTAAACCCCAGAGAAATAAAGTCACTGATAAATACTGTTCAACTGTAATCCTCTAGGAAGTACTTCTGTACTGTATATTAATCAAATATTCTATTAAATTGTGTCAGAGTGCTCACAGTACTTTCAAAATCCATAGCCAAGAACTGGTCACATTCTGAAACGTTCAGTTATTGCTGACCTGATAGCTAATATAAACTTACCCAGTGAAGAGATCCCATGCATAACTTTGCAGCAAGGAGTGGAATAGTTGCATCATCTGGTTTCAAACGTATACATTCCTTCAAGACCTTCACAGCTCGAGCAGACTGTGTAAAAATACATTTTTCACTGTGAAACTCTAGAAGCATAAGTGCAAGATCTCACAGCTACAAGCCCCCCATGTTACATTTTCAAAAGGAACCTCTACAGATTTATTTTATTTTGACAAATCTGTCATAAGCATCTGTACAGTTCAGATATCAGACTTTATACCCAGAATAGTCAAACATGTTTTATCAAATGCTAGCTCTGTATACCACTCCAGAAGTGCAGAAGAGCTAGGAAATGTTCTAACAGGTAAGCAGAAGGTTCATCTTTCCTCTACAGCAGAGGTTCTCAAAATGGGGATTTCAGGGAGTTGCAAGGTTATTACATGGCGGATGTCATAAACCCTCAGAGTCCACCATGAAACCCAACTTCTCTTCCAACATTTATAATAGTGTAATATATAAAACGTGTGTTTTAATGTATAAGGGAGGTTGTACTCAAAGGTTTGCTATATGAAAGGGGTCACCAACACCAAAGTTTTCTACTCTACAACACTACACTTCCGATCTTCCCCACAGCACAGGAGCAAGACTAATGAAGGGATGGGATGAATATAGTCAGAACTAGCATGACCAAACATCTAGTTTTTAAACTGACAGTTCTGCATTTAAGCCCTCCCGACAGAATCCCCACATTCTGTTAAAAATGGGCAAATTGCCCCATATTTTCCATTCTCCTACAGCACCAGCCAGAAACAAGATACAGAA